CTTTTTCATTGAGGTCATGATGCTGTACTAATCTTCACCTCTATTCCATTAGTCACGAAAACCTAGTTGTTTACTAAAAGTATATTTTCGGCTAAGTGATCACTATTACCCGCAGCCTTACTTTCTTCCGGCAAATTGCAAGTTATGCATCCTTCGTTAGAAAGGTGGAAAGTGACCCGATCAGATCTTGAATTCAAGATTTCATGATCGTAGGGCGATGCTCTACTGACGGAGCAATCACAATGATGTCGACGTTGATGGACTCATGCTTGAGTGACACCTCAACTTTGATCCATGTTATAAAATCAGCTAATAAACGTCTGCAGATCATCAGAGAGTGCTAAAGACAACGCCTTCGCTGGTTTTCCTCTGCACCAGAAGTGGAAAATACGTCACTGACTGATTTTCTCCAATTGCCATTCTGCAGCCGTCGGTCATTCTAAATTGGAGCCATTATTAAACTAATGATTTCCCAGCGGATATAAGAAGCTCGTCTAGTCGCAAGAAAAACCTGGCGTCGTTTCAGGGCGAAGGGTCGTGTCGGCGGCTGTCCGGTACTTCGGTGACGCAGAGGTTGTTTCAACTTCCGCATCTGATGCCGTCGACTTCGTAAATAGTCTCGTCGATCTGATCGTTGCCGGCATATGAATATCATTTCATGTTTTTGTAGCGTCGTCGACGTCCACAGGCTTCTTGCCTACCTGATGAACAAAACTTCTCGTCAATACAAGCACCGCTTCAAGGACACGTCACTTAACGAATGCCAATGCGACCCATTTGCACTATTGTAATCTGAGATTGCGGCGGTCGTCTGCCTTGCGAGTGACCTCATCACCGCTTCAACTTCGTCACGTGCCGCCTGCTGTAGGCAGGTTCATCTCATGAACGATGCACAGCGATTATGCTAATCACTTGATGAGGGTTTTAGAGGCTAATAGAGAGTAGTGGCCTAATACGTTTCGTTGTTGACGGTTGGTCGATGTTTAAATCACCATGCGAACGTGTTGCGCATCGCAGTTCAGCTGCGAACCGCGCTTCATCTCAGAAAGAAACATGTAGGTGTTGAAAACAAGCATTCACCTGTTTTTGAGGTCTCATTCACCCGTTGCGCCAAGCGTCGTACTCTGGTGCGAGGCAGCATGACGCATAAGCCTACGACGATCGACAGAGAAATTCAGCGAAATATGGACATTCTGCGACAACTGCTTTTAGAAGAGAGGAAAAACGATGTGAAGAAAGGCTTTTCCAGACAATGGACAAATGACCAGGACTTTTTCGAGGTAAGACCGCATATTCTCGCTACAGACAAGTTTTCGCTCTTTCAGCTGGCATCATTTTGCTGAAAGACTTAGCTTGACGCATAAATTGTGCAAAGAAACTCGATCCGATGTAATGAACCAGCTGAGGTAGTAATGAGGAAAGGTAGAACCGTGTACGGTGTAGCGATATTGAGACGATAGGGCAAGTCGTGTAACTCAGAGTGAGTCGCGTTACGGGTGCATTTCATTTTGATAGTTATTCTGATTAAAGGAAAAGAGAAAATCACTAGGAGTGCAAATAGTGCTGGCATCGAATTATCATAAAGGGAAAAGTATTGAATGAACGCGCTATTACTTGAGCTCCAGGCACGCGTACCAAATGAAGACAAAAAACGGTTCGCTGAGAACAAATCATGGACCACTTGCAAAGAAGGTGGCATACTACGATACAGGAAATAATGGGGGGGGCAAATATGTGATGAAAAAGAGTTTCTCTCTTGCCAAACGATGTCGTTGCGTTTAAATAGCAAATTAAAAATACAGCAGACATCATCAACAGCATTTTTATAGTTCTGTAGGGGCTGATTAAAACAGTAAAATAAGAAACAGAAAATATTCCATTTCACTGAATCAATTATTTTGCTTTAAGTCTGTAGAGAATATAACCCAATGGTGCCAATGACTGAGTTAACCCGGGGAAAGCCAACTACTGCGTCAAAGAAGGCCAGTTAGATACAATAAGTTTCACCATTGGTCGCCGTTATGTGTTATGCATATACTGTGCTGCATGTTGAAACGAAAATTATTTACTTCTAATGGCGTGGCTTATTTGTTATTTGTCTGTAGTCCTGAAATTGGATGTAGGGATCAACGATCGTCTTGTAAAAGAAGGATAGTTTGCAACCGTTTTCGTCAGTCATTTCATGCTTCCATGATTTGTAGCTCCCATGTTTCGTGAAATTTGCGATATGGCTCTGATTTTCACAGCGATACAAGCAGTGAGCAGTATCCTGGTCCTAAGGCAACTTCAACAGCTACGCGGTCACTACAGTACATACTGCTCTGTTTGCTTCTCATGCAATAAATGATTCATCTGCTACAGGAAGAGCGCAAGTGAGTTATCTGTGCGAATTTTACTCACGATTTTTCGACTACGAGTTTAGACGCTTTAAAGCAGCTAACCAGGTTCGTCTGGAGAATTGAATTTGGAGAGGACACTTTTCATTTCCCTATACCTTTTATGAATATGTACACATTACATATCGTAGTAAATATATTTAGTGTTTAAATGCAAATTATGAGTCAAAATCGAGAAACAACCTACAAATGCAAAAGAAAATATGATATTCAAATGCTACAAAAATGTAAGGAGTCTCGAAGATGCTTGGAGTTCTCAGATAGTAAATCCGTTGACTGCAATTATGTTTTAAGTGCACTGCTCTTCAAACTGCTCCTTTTGGTAATTTCTTCCTGCAGGAGTTGATCTGCTAGGGCATTAATCTGCGCCTTCTTTGCAAAATAGCGGTCATCTGTTGATGTTTCACAGAGCATAGCAGCAGTCCACACACTTTAAGTTTTTCGTTCAGTATGAGTAAAAGTTGCGGTTAAGGTCTGTATGCGTACTGAGAAGTACCATTTGCATGTCCATCTAAATTTGTAACCTTGTTGAAATGCTTTCCTGTTAAATCTCTGAATTTGCATGAGTAGGTGTATCGTGCGCTTCTAGTAGCATAAAGAATTGCTTTGGTAGACCATGGCTATAAGATATTTGAGTGCCTGCAGTGTATGATTGCAAAATCACGTTGCTAAATTGGGCTGAACAAAATCCTGTTCGGACACCTACTGAATTATCATTATCCGCAGATGTTTATACGTTCAGGCATAACTCCGGTATGCATTGGTTTACCAGCAAATTGCTAATTTTCGATATCGCCGGAAAAATAAGAATCTCCTGTTAATTTTCACGATTTACGTGGCGTATGCCGGCAGTATCCAAAACTGACAATTTGATAGTAAACTCATACCGGAGTTAAGAAATTGCATTTTTTGAAATCCTAATGCATGGTTTTGAATATGCCACAGAGAACTACCTCCGGGAGGGTGAGACGGCTAGGCTCGACACTGGTCAATGAACTGTTCCATAGCTAAGAGCTCACTAAGCTCAGCCCTTCTGAGTCTGGATGTCATGGTTGAAAGATGTGAAACATTAAGGCTGTGGTTCATGAAAGTTAGTTCCCTGAATGAATTGCTTACTCGCCAAAAAAATATTATGCATTGAAAAATGCGGGGTCGTAAGCGCAGGTACGACGTTGATTGCTTACGATCCGGTGACGGATATAACGCGATTGGAAAATGACAAAAAGAGATAACCAAAATCTCTGCTGTTAGCTACCTCACCGGAACTCTGTCGCCTGACGCTCTCGTAGACATCTGGATCAGGGAAGCGAAGAGAGTCAAGGCAGATGTTCTCGACATGTGCGAAACCGGAATATTTACCGAACGTATCGCTTAATGTAACAACGATAATCAAATATTCCTCAGGAAGGGGCTCGGAAACTGAGCTCGGTTAGGCGGTGTACGATTCATCATCTGCGACCTCATGTCACCTCATGTGACACTGCTAATTCAGTGGGTGAGAAAGAGAAAATTAGTGAAGATAATCGAAGTTTGCAGCGCAATACAGAAAGTGGAGTATTTCTACGAGGAACTGAAAAGCTCAGC